AAGATCCTCCCCTTGTTAGAGCATTTCTATTTCGGCAGCAAACAGGTTGTTGCAAACAATAATATAGTACAGAGCAGGGCGCGGCACAACTCCTTTCTGTATTCTCCGCTTTTGCACACTATCTTCGTCAGTTTAACTTACGACGTACCTTCAACTTACGTGCAGCGCAGTAAATGAGCATTTAAGCGGACTTATTTGGCAGAGCGAGCCATCTCGAGGCGGGTGGTCGTAAGTGACTTATAAAATTCTTTTAGGGAAGAAGAAAGGTCCATTTTAACTAAGCTGGCTTGGAGTTTACTACTACTTGCTATAGATTTTGCATTATCAGCAGCATTGCGCGTAGACAATCTAAATGTACGCCCTATGGGCTATGACGTACCTCAGTAATAGCTAAGACACTTTTATCTGTGTAGTTCCATAACACTGAACCAATACCGCCCTTGGACGGCTGGAAGACAGTGATCCGCTTCTTTGCATTATTTATGGGAAACTTTACCACCTTTTCTGGAACATCGTTTGCGTGAAATCGCGTAAGTCATATTGATATGATCAAAAAACATCTCGCTTACCCAGATCACTAGTGCTGTCTGACCAGAGCCAGTAGACATTCTTGTTTGCTTTATCAAAGCCCATAAATCTAAAGTTCACTCAGTGCCGAACATTTATCTGAATGTGAACTTACGCATTGCTAAGTGAATCTTCAGTAGAAAGATGGAGTAGTTTTTCCCAACGATTTTTATCCGACGAGAGGACTTGTCCTGGTTTTGCCAAACGTTTTACCCTGCAGCATCGTTCAGCATTAAGATTTTCGACGCAAATTTCGTATGAAATTATGTAAGGTAAGCTCTAGCCGTTGTCAGTACCTGTAGTAAATTGCTGTACCGTCTTTCTGCTCCTCATATGCTATGCGAATGTTGAGATCATTGTCAAGATAGACCTCGGGAAATCGCTTGTTTCTCATCACAAGTGTTAGGTTTTTTGTCAGTAAATTGTAAGAGTAAATATTGTAC